GCGCCCGGCCAGTTATTTCTTGATAATACGCTAACCTAGGGGTAGATTATTCATGCCTCCCCTTTTTAGACCATAAAGGTTAACTTTGTGATGTTGCCATGGCAGTTGTAAACTATCATGACGCTGGTGGAAGTGTAGCAGTGAGGACAACCAGAGTTTACTCTTGTGGCCGTCTTGATTTGGGTGGGTTTTAGCCAGCTTCTTTACTGTAACCCGTTTTATCAGCAAGATCTTTATGACCCATACCTTGTGCTGACCTCCTATCTCATCCTGTGACTTAGAATGCCTTAACTGTCTGTGAATGCAGCCCACTAGGTTTCAGCCTTATTTTACCCAGCTCCTATTCAAGATGGAGTTGATCTGGTTCAAACGCCTCTGACTCTTGGAAGGGGCGTGGGTGTCAGTGAAGGCATGAAGCGGCCCCTCCCTGACCTGGCCTGCTTTCTTCCTCCTCCTTCACTCCTGGGCCACCTGCAGTTGCTGGTTTGTCTTTTCAACAGACATTTCTGAGGCCCTCAGAGGTGCCGGGTGCGGGGCCCTCCTGTGTTTTCTGCACCTGATGCTTTCCTGCCCCTGTGGTGGTCATGTTCACAGACCTCTTCTCCCCCTCTTGTCGTACCACAGGTGATTCTCCTAGGTCACTGGCTGCTGACAACCTGGTAAGTGACTCTGTGGGTATCTCTGTGTCTCCTGCGGTCTCAGGGTCTGTGTCAGCCGCGTCAGGTCCTGGCTCTGCCATGTTTTAGCCGGGTCACTTTGGGCCAAACAGCTGTGCCTCTCAGGTCATCTGTACAATAGGCATAAGGATTGCACACCACCCTGCAGGAGCTGGGAGGGAGACGAGGAACAGTGCTCATCAGAGCTCCCCAGGGCCTGCCCCGCAGTGAGGCCTCAGCATTGCGGCTTGATTTTCACCTTTACCATCTCTTTTAATCTGCTGAGCTTCTGGAGACATTTCTCTGCCAAACCAAGACTGGAAACCCCTGAGCTCACATGTGCACTTTGTAAACTTTGCAGTGCAGCGCACAGGGCAATGGCTGTGAGTAATATGAACAGTAGCCATCATGGTTCACGACCTTGAGAAGCAGGGCCAAAATACAGATTTCTTAGTCACACTTCCCCAAGATTCTGAGTTGGTGATTCTGGGCTGGGACCCAGGCACCTGCTTTCTTAAAAGCAAAAGATAAGATGGTTTATTCAAAGACGTATTGAACCAAATGGCACTTCACACCTGCCTTGTACATGTCTTCTGCATGTTACACTGCAGTGAATGTCCTATAAATCTAGGAAGCATTGGTAATAAACGAGGTAGACTTGGTGCCTGTCCTCCTGCGTCGTCTTTGCAGCACAGCAGGGTGAGCAAGAGCATGGCCTCTCCAGCCAGACTCCAAATCCCAGCCCCACTGCTCAGCAGCTGTGTGACCTTGGGCAAGTTACTTAACCTCTCTGTGCCTTAGTTTCCTTATCTCTAAAGTAAGGATAACAGTAATACTGCCTTCCTAGGGTTGTTAATATAAATGCACATAAATGAGTTAATTTAAAGCACTTAGAACCATGCCAGGTACTAGCAAGTGATCTGTGTTCACTATGATTTTGATTGGATTGACAAGCAAACAAGTAAGTCAACAATGTCAATACCCTAAAAAAGATACTAGGGCGGGGCTTGTGTTAGGAAAATGACAAGGTTGTACTTAGCACTGGTGGGTGAGGGAAGGAGTCTCAGGGTGAACATTCAAGTTGCCACTGAATGACAAAAGGAGGGCCAGGTGTCAGGGTAGAGGGTGCCCGCCACACAGGGCAGTGGCTGGGAGGTCAGCAAGGGCGGAGCTGTGTCCGGGATCCCACGGGCCCCTTAGGTCCTGGTGAAGAGTCTGCATTTTATTCTAAATGGGACAGAAAACTGTTGGAGAATTTTTAGCAGAGGAGTGACAGCATCTGACTACATTATGGGTTGCTGTTTAGAGAACAGAGTGGCAGTCAGGACACTGGCACAGGGTGGCTGCGGCTGTCATCTGGCAGGAGAGGGAGGTGCTTTGGATCTACAGGGACACAGCCAGATCCAGGGTCTGGGTGGGAGGCAGAGCCCATAGGATTTGCTGGCACACAGCCAAGTGGCCTCGAAGACTATGGTGTGTTCTGGGAGGAGGCTGTGAGACCCCAGAGCAGGAGGGAGGTGACCTGTGGGGTGGTGGTCGCCTGACAGGACTGAGCTACCTCTTCCTACAGGGGCTGCATTGTATTCTCGGGCCCCTATGCCTGGGCCAACTTCACCGTCCTGGCCTTGGGCGTGTGGGCTGTAGCTCAGCGGGACTCCATCGACGCTATAAGCATGGTGAGCCAGGGTTGGGGAGAGGCGGCAGGGTGGGGGAGAGGCGGCAGGGTTGGGGAGAAGCGGCAGGGTCGGGGAGAGGTGGCAGGGTGGGGGGCTGCAGCACGGGGTGAAGCACAGCCTGGCTCTGCCACCCTGTCCCGTCCCAATATTCTCCCTTTTCCTTGGGCTGCCACTTCCCATTGTCTAAAGCCTTGTTCGTCAGTCTCCTGGGCTCCGGCCCATGCCTGTCTTCAGGAGCCCAGCCTGCTGCTCTTGTCTGGCTTAGAGAACCCCAAGTCTGCCATTATCTCCCCGAGGAAAGCCATAGGGTGGGTCCCACCGGTGCCTCAGATTAGCCACTTTGCCAGAGCAGCAGAACATCCCCTGTAACCTGCCCCTGGGACTTTCTTTTAGGGGAGGGGCTGTGGCTGGGAGACCCGGCCAAGGGGGCACTCCACACTTTAGGAAGTAGAGGTGACCCTGCCCCACCAAAACCTCCCACAGGGGGAGCTTCTCAGCACCCACCCAGCCCCATGGGGCAGTGAGCGCTCCCGCACGGGCTCTTCAAGCCAAGGCCAGGGCCTCAGGATGACTGAAAAGGGATTTTCTTTGTGTTGGAGACAGACTGGGTGAACTCCAAGGAACCTTCCTCTGTGGCGGTTCTAGAACCAAGTCTTGTGCCCGTCATGGCCTTGGAGGTGACGGGAAATGGGTGGGGAGGGAGGCTCTGGTGGAACCGAGACCTGGACTCCCGGCGTCCCTGCCCCCAGACTGCAGTCCCAGCCAGCAGCTCCCCAACGGGGTCCTGCCTGCTTGCTTGATCTGTTTTCCAGCAAAACTCAAGGACACAGTAGGGCACGAAACAGCTTCCCATCCGGTATATGGTCGGGGAGCCACGGGGCGCGGCGGGGGTGCTGTGCTCATCAGTGTGGTGTGTCTTGCAGTTTCTGGGTGGCTTGCTGGCCACCATCTTCCTGGACATCGTGCACATCAGCATCTTCTACCCGCGGGCCAGCCTCACGGACACAGGCCGCTTTGGCGCGGGCATGGCCATCCTCAGCTTGCTGCTCAAGCCGCTCTCGTGCTGCTTTGTCTACCACATGTACCGGGAGCGCGGGGGTGAGCTCCTGGTCCACACTGGTGAGGCCACTACCTCCAGCCAGCTCCCCACTCTTGTCTCTCCCTTGCCTGGCCCCCAGCCTCTCCCTCAGTAAGCCCGCCTTGCCCCATGGGGCCAGGGCTCAAGGTGCAGGGAGAGCGTGGCATGGGCGCTCTGTACCAGGCTGGACAGGTCCAAGCTCCTAGTGTCTGCTGCAGGAGCCCAGGGGTCCTCTGGCTGTCCTGGTCTGCCGCGACCTTCTCCTGCTGTGAAGCTGAGGCTGGGCCCTTCTCTCAGCCCAGAGCACAGGCACAGCTTGGGGTATCATTTAGTTCCCAGGGGCAGCCCTGGGCTGTCTCCATCCTGAGGGCCACAGGCACCTACAGGTCTCCTTTCTGTTCCCACGGGGGCCCATCACTGGAACCCCATTTCCTGCCATGTGGGGTCTTCCCTCTCTTGAGGCAGAGACTGTGCTAGGTGGCCAAGGGAGAGCCCGCACCAGTGTAGGCTGTGGGAGCCTCAGCGAGGACAGCCCTGAACAGGGAGTACTTTCCCTGCCCACTGGCCCCTCCCCACTCGCCCAGCCTTACACCTGCCCTCTCCCACGCCCTCTCTGAACTCCTGAACCCCTTCTCCTGGTGGCCGAGCCATTTGCCTGCTCTCTGACACCTCTCTCTCTTCCTTTCTCTCTCTCTTTGAGAGGAGTGGAGGGAGGTGGTGGGGTGTGGCCTTCTGCCTTTCACTCCTGAGAAGAGATGCCCTAAGTGGCCTGTGAGTGCCACCAGCTGGTGGAGGGTAGGAATGGCCTGGGGCTGCCCACAGTGGCTGACGTCAGCACTGCCTGGGCCTGCCTCAGGTGAGGGGCGCCAGAAGGTTTCTCCCATTAGACAGATGAGGAAACTGAGGCCCACATCCCTTGGAACTTGTTCAGGGTCTCAGGATGAATGTACAGAGTAGGGGATGGGAGTGAGGCATTGGGGTACTCGGAGCCCTACGGCCCTGCCTTGGACCCAGCCCCAGCCTCTGAGGCCATCTGGATATGGTAATGTGGTGTCCTTGTACCTGGGAGGGGAGCTGGAGAGGACTGCATGGGCCCGGGGCTGGCGTCCCTCTGCCCAGGTTCCTGAACACTCGCTGCCTGGGGAAGCCCATGGCACAGGGGCCAGGAGCCTGGCTTTGGATCGGCTGCCTAGGCGTGGATCCCAGCATCATCAGCTTCGAGCTGTGTGATCTTGGGCAAGTCAGTTAATCTCTTTGACCCACAGTTTCCCCATCTGTAAAGTGGGGACAATAAAAATACCCGCTGCACGGGGATACGGCAGGATTGAATGAATAATACATGCTAAAGGTTGAGTGCCTGGGGCTGCTGCCTCTGTCTCTGTGCATGATGTCAGGATGCCCAGCCCAAGGGTGGCGGGGGTGGGTCTTGGGTTGGACTTAGCCAAACATTCCGAGTTCTCACTCTTCATTTTTCTTTCCCGCCATGTTCCCTGCCACCCAGGTTTCCTTGGACCTTCTCAGGACCGTGGTGCCTATCAGACGATTGACTCAGCAGAGGCACCCGCAGATCCCTTTGCAGTCCCAGAGGGCAGGGGTCAAGATGCCCGAGGGTACTGAAGCCAGCCACACTGTGCCCGGCCCCGCCCCGGGCCTTCCTTGTGCCTGGGAGGTCGTTCTAGGGATGCTCCTGGGAGGTCGTTCTAGGGATGCTCCTGACCTCCGTCTCTTGGACCTAAGATGGAATGTGTCCCCAGCTCAGGGATTGCCTGAACCAAGTGCCCTGAGAGGCCAGGAGCCCCCATGGGCCACCCAGTGCCTTGCACACTCCTGTCCCAAACTCCCTGAGTCTTCCCCTCCCTTCAGGGCACCCACTGGTTCCCAGGCTGGACCCATGGTCTCTCTTCACCTCCTACCGCACCACAGAGGCCCCCAGCTGAGTCCCGCCTGAGAGTGGCAGGCTCAGGCCTTTAAGGACCACTGATGCCCCCTGAGGCCTCCCCCGAGTTTGTCAGGCTTCAGTGGAAGCCCTGAGAGCTTCAGGTCCTGCTCAGCTCCAGGAGCGGTCTGGCATGGGAGTGAGGCCCCGTGCTTCTCACTGCCTGGTCACGTGGTGGCTAGGGATGCAGGGCTGGAGGTCAGAGGCGTCAGCCACACTGTGACCCATCACAGCCTCCAGCCTCCCTTTTCAGAGCCACAGCATTAAAGTTTGGGGAATTCTATAGATGGGCTGTGTTTTGAGCCACTTTCAGTCTCCTGGCTGGGCTGGGGCCTGGCCTTGTTCCTGGGAAGATTTCTCCTGCCAATTCCCAGGTGGAGCCTGCACTAGGCTGCCCCAATCTGTCATGGCGGGAGGAAACGGACATGCGTGTTGGCTGAGCTGGGCTTGTGCCTGACTCTGGCCTAGCAGAGGCCACAGCAGAGAGAGCAACTGGTGGGTGTGGCGTGTGGGCATCCGTTTCTCTGAACCAGATGACGCAGGCACTGTTTTGAATCCTGCTCCGCCACTTACTAGCTGCATGCCTTCAGTGTCTTCTAGAAAGGGTTGGTGCCTGCTCCAGGTGTAAGGTGCCTGGCGTGAGGAGGGCTCCCTCAGTGATGGTGAAGTTGTTAGCAGTGGACTTGCTCCTCGGGCCAGTGACAATGCTAGGTTAGGAGGCAGGGGCGACCTCTTCCTGGTGGCCCTTGTGTCTGGTCACCACTGACTTGGGCTGACACATCCAGAAGTTCCCCAGGGCCCGGGCCCACCCCACGGACAGGTCTGGCGGTTCACAGCTTGCTCTTCTGCCCCTGGGCCCGAAGTGCCAGGGCTTTCCCAGGCCATCCTGGCTTGTCTCTGGCACAGGGTCAAGGCTTAGTGCACAACCCCCACCATTCTCTTGTGTCCATCTGTCAATCAAAAGAGGCTTAGTATCTGCCTGGTGCTGAGCAGACGGGGCTTCAGTGGTGACCTTGGGAGCCTGCTCTCTCAACCTAAGAGTCTTATCACCTGGAGGATTATGGACAGAGGCAAGAGCTCTGAAAGAAGGGGACACAGGCCTCTGGGCCAGGGAGGAAGGCTGCTGTGGGGAAGGGGCTGTGCTCCGGGCAGAGGGCTGCTGAGCAGCTGCGGTTGTAAGAAACCGGAAACAGCCTCGCTGTCAGGAGACGGACTTCATTATAGGGAGTATGGACCAGTAAGCCACGGTCCATTCATCGTATGGAGTACGGTGCAGTGAGCCACAGTCCATTGATTATAGGGAGTATTCCTTATAGGGAGTGGACCAGTCAGCCACGGTCCATTCATCATATGGAGCACGGT